GCGCGTCGACGCGCATCAGAGCGCGATACAGCTCATCGACTCACGTCATGGCAAAGTCCGATCGCTGCATGACATGAAATTTCCGAGTGACAGCGACTCGATCGCTCTTTGGTTGTATGTGTCGCATGAGCACGAATTCTGATAGACTTCATGTTTTTGAACAGTGCTATGGTAAAGATAAGTCTCCTCGGCCATTGATGACAAAACGGGAAAAATGTTGAACACATTTTCAGCGCGAATGTCTTGGCTTTTCAGCCTAAACTGTTTTTCAGTATTCCATTTCTCTCTATTTTTCCTCGTGCTTCAGTGCCTGAGCTGATAACATTACAGAGTAGCTGCCGTGATGAAAACTGAAGAAGCCAAAAGTCCGAATATCTCGAAGCAGGCCATCAAGAAGAAAGTTGTGGCATTTTACTACGAGATTCGAGCTACTTTATCACGTTTTATCTGCAAAATATGTGGTTATCTCCTTTTCAAGGTATTGCAGAAGCCTCGACCTCGCAGTCATCTTTAAATGAACGATGTATTTCTCAGGTATTCCGCCGCCTGATGACTCGTTTGTTGATCAGCCCACTGCAGATGAAACGAATTGTTGAAGCGGAAAAAGTGCGGCTTCTAATATTCCTCTTGTTACTGTACAACAAATCGTAATCGTAATCAATTCTTCATCATGTAAAAGCATTCATTTATCAGCTTTCCAGACGGGTATACCACTTGTCTACCTTCCCCTTCACCGGTCTCATCTTGATTATCTCTTAATCACTTGGACTGCGTGGCACTTTGGTCTTCGATTGCCCCATATTGCTTCCGGTGATAACCTAAACCTCAGCGGTCTTGGGTTAGTTCAAAATATTCAGATTCCTTCAAACTACTGTTGATTGAAATCAATATTCTTGATAAATTCATCATACGCCTTGATAGGTCTTGAATTCAGCTGGCTTCTGCGATCTACTGGAGCGTTTTTCATTCGAAGGCGCACAGATGAACACGATGAAGGGGGAAAAGATGCCTGCTATCGGTGGGTTTACATCACTGTTTATAATACCCATGCCTACCGGTTGCTACCCGTCCTTACTCCTGTGGTAGCGGAAGAAGGATGGACATTATAGAATATCGCTAGCCTAAACTGCTCATATCGGATGGTCATAGCGGCTTACTATTCCCCCATCATAGATACTCGTTGCTCGGCATTTCATTTGGATACCATTTTCACTTTAAATCCACGAATTCGCAAGCGAAATTCACGACTTTTCTAGCCAAATGCAAGGCTCGGTTGTCCATGCCTCGCTAGGCGCTATGCAAGCTCCGCCCCTGCAGCCACGCCCAC